CAGACAGCCTGGGACAGACAGGTGCAGGCAGGTCTGACGTCGAGGCTTTTTGGTGGCTGATGTTTGGGAGCTAAGATCTGAATAGGACGAAGGGCTTTGGGGTGCTGTGTTTCTGCCTCTCTCTAAGCCTCTGCCTTTGGGTAACAGGAGTTGGGAGATGGGCTTCTAACCTCCCTCATCTACAACTAGGCAGCCTGCAAACCTCCGGATCGCCCTGGGGTCTGCCAGCTCTACTCCTGAGGTTTCCAAAGAAAAGTAGGGAGCAGACCTGAGCAGAGACTAAGACAGCCCGGAAGATAAAACATCCTGCTCAAGAGAACACCTGTGAAAAAGCCTTTAATATTAAGGCAGATGCTGACATTACCATTTCCTCCCCCCTGCCCTGCCCCCACCCCGACACACACATAACATCCAGACTTCTATCAAAGGACAGAAAGCCGGAACCGTGGGATCAGCACCCTCCACAGCTGCCTTCTGAAAGCATCTGAATTATAACTTCCTATTCCTGGGACAATGCTGGGAAAAGCTGAGAGGTTTTAGGAACAGATTCCTTAACCACGAGGGGGGACGCGAGACCTTTAAGAGGCAAGGAGGTGGCCCGATGAAACTTCCCAAAATACATCCACCCAAAATACCATCCACCAAAATGTGACTCTCAAAAATATCTCCCCCGGGCCTGTCTGTGGTGCTGGCTGGGAGGACGGAGAGCTGGGACGGGACCAAGGCTCACACCTTCCCCTCCGCCGGGAGCTGGCCAGGCCATCGGCAGCCCCAGGCCCGTACCTTTGTCTGGGGACTCGGCATTCTGTGGCTTGTTGACCGTCACCTTATTCATGTAAATGTACTCCTCATCAGAACCTGCAGGGGGAGGATGGAAGTTCGTGTGATTCCGTGAAGGGAAAGGGCTTCCAGAGAGAAACGGTGTCCCCTAGAGACACTGTCATCTGCTTGGTTCCAGGAAAGACTCACAATATTTTGAGTTGACCAAAACAGTCCAACATAAACGAAGAAATGCCAAGTTGCCAACTATTAGTTTACAGTTAGGGTACAGATGTCTTAAGGGGAAAGGCACCCACATCTCAAAGATGCACACCTCATATTCCACTCACCAGAGATTGCTCTGGGTTTCCTAGCATTTCATTGACATTGTAGAATGGTTCCTCTCAGTCATTCTCACTCTAGTCTGAATTACTTGCCTGGGCTAACCAGAACAATGTCTACGTAGAAGATAGGTCACATTGAGGATCTGAAAGTTTACCTCCCAGGCCTCTAGGTGGGGTGCCAATGTGGGGGGCCTGAGAAATCCAAAGCATGCGCTCTGGGTTTAGAGGGGTACATGTGCAGGGAATTGGCAATGGAGCATTTCCAGCCACCTGCTCTACCCTGCAGATTGTACCTTGCAGCAGCATATCCCTTCTCCTCCTTTAGAATCATTTCTGTGCAGGTTGTCACTTTCCCAGTGCCTGCCTGGGCAGAGAAAGGCTGGTCTCCTAACTCTTGCTCAGCTGCTAACACCCAAGGACCCTTTCTCCAGGCACCTGCACAGGAAGCTCATCCTCCTGTTTCTCCTCTTACAAACCCTCCTGCATTTCTTTCCAGCCCCTTAATTTGCATTTCCTAGAGACTTGTGGCTGATAAATTCCAGTGGTTGGAGACCCTGTTACTGAGCCAAAGAACCCAATTCAAACCCCTGGCAAAGGAGGCAGTTCCGTGCCAGTCAGTTCCTCGCCACAGACCGCGTAGACTCCAGCCAACAGGCCCGGAAAACAGTCCTGAGAACTCAGAGGAGCAGGAGGAGGATGCAACTGGATGCGTCCTCCACCATCGGTCGGTCCGTGGATGGCCAGCTCGGTGCACAGCCCTGCCAGGACCAGCCAGCCACACCACCCCTGTCCCAAGGGCTGCAGGAGCTCATGGAGGGAACTATGAGGTCCCAACACAGTGAGCTACAACCGGCCTGTCTCCACCTACCGAGGTCCAGAGGGGCTGGGTCAGTACCTTCTGCAGAGCATGTGCAGGGGAAAGGGCTCTGCAGGGGGGGGACCGGAGATGCTTTGCCATGAATGGTGTAATTCTGGGCAAAACACCTAACCAGTGTGGCCTTGCTTTTCTTATCCGCATCGTATGGAAAACAATCTTGATGAAATATTGCCTCTTTCTACTTAACTGGGAAGTTCAAGAGTACAAAACTCAAATATTAGGAAATTTGAAAAAGGACGGTAATCTTATAACTGATGAAGATTAACAATGGCAGCCTCGCCCGGCTGGTGTGACTCAGTGGTTGAGTGTTGACCTATGAACCAGGAGGTCACGGTTCAATTCCTGGTCAGGGCACATGCCCAGGTTGCGGGGCGTGTAGGAGGCAGCCGACCAATGATTCTCTCTCACCACTGAAGTTTCTATCTCTCTCTCCCTCTCACTTCCTCTCTGAAATAAATTTTTTAAAAATATTTGTAAAAAATGCCAGCCCAAGATATGGGCACTAACTCAGTCTCAATAATAGGAAAATGGTGAAACAAACAAACCATGGCACATCAACATAAACAGCATGTTGCCTGTGACCATAAACGAATGACTGAATAGTGTGGGAATCGGCACAACTACCGGGAAGTGATTTCGGAGGATAATTTAATTGTACGTGTTCCTATTCTTTGACCCAGCATGTCCAACGCCAGAAATTTCTCCTGGAGACAAACTCCAGCATGTAAACATAATCTTACTCGAGGATGTTCACTGCAATACTGTATGAGGTTTCTTAAAAATACAAAAAACTTAAATGCTCACTAACAGGAGACCATTTGAACAATAGTGTTCATCCATGATGCTACCCAACAGTGAAAAATGAAGTAGGTCTAGGACAGCCAAGATGTACAGTTAAAGGGTCACATTTCAGAAGGGAAAAGCCATGTGAACTGTCAGCACGTGGAAATGCGCACTGACAGCGATTACAAATGTAAAAACATTGCAAAGCCAAATACAGAGGCAGGCCCCAACCACGGGATATGCAGGGGACCCTGATAAAGATCACCAAAGGAATCTAAGGAACATAAATCATGCCTAATGTTCTTTTTGCATTTCTTTCTTTTTTTTTTCCATCTTGTTGACGACGCCCTCACTGCCACACGAAGAAATAAAAGGCAAAATACCTTTATTGTTTTAACTGTTGGCATTCTGAGCAGGTGCTTCCTCTGAGAGGGAGACTTGTAAGCTACAGAGAAAACTCGCATAGCCCTGCCCGCCCCGCCCCCCACCCCCCCCAGGGCTGCGTGTCTCCCACCTCGGGCACCCTGCGGGCCGTGATCCAGTAGGTCCTTATTCTCAGAGGGTTGCTAATCCAGGGCCATCCAGGTTGGCAAGGAGGAGGCTCCCAGGACCGCCTGCAATCCTGGGAAGAGCCCAGTGAACGGGGCCCTCCCAGGGGAGGCTGCTGAGCTGTCCTGTGGCCCGGAAGCAGCCGCCCGGGGAGGGAGGACTCTCTCCTTCATTCCCAGATGTGCACCCAACACCAGCGCTAATCTAGGTGCGGGGACACTGTCTCTGCCTTTGGGGACCCAAGTCTGTGGGGCGGAGGGCGGAGACCCAAATGGAGGAGTTAACGGGCGTATGGAAAGAACAAGAGCCCACGGGGTGGTTGGAAGGAGTGCCGTCCTGCCCTGAGCCCATGTGTGCTTCCTGGGGGAGGGAGCCTGCCTGTAGAGGGTGGGCCTTCCCCGGGAACAGGGTAAAGGGTGGGGAGGAAAGACACGGACCCTCTTTGCTGCAGTTGGATAGACAGAATATTTGAAGCTCTTCCTAGCAGAGGGGCAACTCTGAAACTTCCCTACAGTCCCTGAGCGGGATTCTGGGGGCGGGGGGTGGGGGGCTGGGCCCTCACTGGTAAAGGCAGGAACAAACAACAGGCCCCAATACATAGACCTCGCCATGCAGACAAAAAGCAAAGTTAGTAGAGAATTTGTGTTGCAGTAAGAAAGCAAAAGATGGAAAATTCCATCTGAAAAGTGTCAAAGCCACGAGAAACAACAGCTCAGCCAGCGTCGGCCACAGGCTGTCTCAGCGATCAGCCGCTCCGTCGGGCTGAGCTCATTTTCTGGAGGATGCACGGTGAGGCTGAGAGCAAGACGGGTGCTGCAGTTTCGGGGGGCTTTGGATTCTGTCCTGTGCGGTCCAGGTTAATCTGACACCGTGGGGCTGGAGGAAAGCACAGTGGTAGGCGCACCTGCCCAGGCCTGCCCGGGCACCACGGCCACGGGCCTCACGCAAGTGACGTCCCAAGCCTTGGCTCCCTTGTTGGTAAGATGGGGACAACAACAACTCCCTCGCTGACTTGGGAAGGGAATTGGATGACAGAGACCATGACCTTTTATATGCTGAGCACAGTGCTGGGACCCGGTCAATGCCCAAAAAATGTTATAACCACTCTGTGGTCAAGAGGATGCGCCAACGGGACCAGGGGAAGTTTTCAGGGGCTATTAGTAGTGACTGTCACAACCTTAAGACTAGAAGGGGCTGCCACAGGCCTCGGTGAGGCTGTGCACCTGTATTATTAGCAGCCAGGGTGGCGCTCTGGGGTGCGTTGCACTGGGAGGCCGTGGGATCTCAGCAGCCTCCTGCAGGCCTGCAAGCTGCAGAGACCAGGTGGGAACACAGAAAGATCAAGTGTGAAACCAAGGCCACCCTACTGCAAGGGCCACAGCACATTACACCAACACGGGGACACCCCCCCGCCCCCACCCAGGGCTCTGTTAGAGTGGTCAGAGCCAAGCACCACGGTTCAGACCCCATCAGAGGTGCTTTCCAGTTCCCACCAGAGATTCTTCATCCCTGTACATTCTCAGGTCAGAGCACACGGCGATGGGCTGGGGAGTGTGCTGTTTCAAGGTTCCACTGATGGCCCTAGCCAGTTAGCTCAGTGGATGGAGCATCAGCCTTCAGACTGAACAGTCCAGGATTCGATTCTCGTCAAGGGCATATGCCCAGGTTGTGGGTTCTATCTCCAGTAGGGAACATGCAGGAGGCAGACATGTTTCTCTCTCTCTCTCTCCCTCTCCCTTCCTCTCTGAAATCAATAAAAAATCCAATATAATAAAAGGCTAATATGCAAATTGACCGAATGGTGGAATGACCGGTCGCTATGATGTGCTCGGGCCTAAGCCGGCAGTCGGACATTCCCCCGAGGGCTCCCACACTGCGAGAGGGTGCAAGCTGGGCTGAGGGATGCCCCGCCCTCCCAGTGCACAAATTTGGCACCGGGCCTCTAGTAATAATAATAAAGGACCCACTGATGCCCAGCCAGCATGGCTCAGTGACTGAGCACTGACCTATGGACCAGGAGGTCACAGTTCGATTCCCGGTCAGGGCACATGCCCAGGTTGCGGGCTCGATCCCCAGTGTGGGGCATGCGGGAGGCAGCCGATCAGTGATTCTCTCTCATCACTGATGTTTCTGTCTCTCCCTCTGCCTTCCTCTCTGAAATCAATACCAAAAAAAAAAAAATCAAAATTAAATAAATACAAGGTCCGCTGATGAATCCTCTTGCAGGTGATTCATGCCCCTCTACCTCACCTGCTCTGTGATGCGGCTTTCCCATCTGCCATTCCCACCTTTGATGTGTGGCTGACCAGCGCTCGGGCAGGCCGGCAGACGCTCACTACAAAGCCAGGAGCCTGGGAACCAGAGGCTGGCCCGGAGCCCAAAGACCGAGCGGCTCAAGGAGAACGCCTCTGATGACAGGCGGAGGGAGCCAGGACTGTTTCCCCGGGAGAGCAGGCTGCCGGGCAGGTAGCAACATGTTCAGCTTTACGACGTCTCTGTTATTCAGAGAACAGAAACTCGTTCCACCGGGAACAAAGAAGAGGGAAAGGGACCGTGGCATGCGGCCTGGCAGGTTCAGGTTGGACGGAGGGAGAACTTCCTGACTCTGAGCAGGTGCACGCCCCCGGCCTGGCACGGATGAAGGCTGCTCCTGCCGCGAGGCAGATGGAGGACGCGCCCTCTGATGGCCCCTCTCTGTCCCCGAACATCACTTCCGATCCTCACGCGCCCGAGATAAAAATAAACTCAGCTCAACTGTTATGACTTCACACGAAGGCTTTTCTATTTAAAAAAAAAAAAAAAGACAATCGGAATGTGCTAGAAACAAAACCATGTGTCCATAAGAAGACGCGTCCAAGAACGTTCAGAGCGGCCTTATTCATGATGGTCCCAATGTGTGAGACCGGAATGTCCACCACCGAGTGACTGGAGCAGCAGATGGTGGCATCGGCGCAGAAGGTAACACTCCTCAGCAATGAAAGGGAGAAACGGCTGCCACGCCCCAGCACGTGGATGAATCTCCTGAGCGAAAGAGGCCAGACATGAAGTGCACACTGAACCCTGCCGTTCACGTGAAGCTCAAGGGCGGGCAACGCTGACCTACGGTGGGAGAAATCCGGACCGTGGTTGCCATGGTGTGGGGGAGGGGGGATTCCCTGGGAAGGGGCAAGAAAGAACTTTCTGGGATGACAGGAATATTCTGTGCCTTGTTTTGGGTGGTCGGGACACAGATAGTAGACAACTGTCAAAACCCAACCAATTGCGTACTTATGATCTGTGTACTTGGTTGTGTGTTAACATGGACCTCAGTAAAAAAGGAAAAAACGATGAACTCAGCATTCTGTGATTTGCAAATTCTTAAAACTGTGTTTTCCCATTTTCTCTCGGGCTGTCTGACACAGTGGCAAGTTATTTAAACTCTCCTGGCCTCAGTTTCCGCCTCTGTCATCACAGTCAACCTCAGAGGACTGTCTTGAAGATGAAACAAGTTAATACGTGTGCAAGTGGGAAGCCCTCAATGAAGCCTCAGCTATTATTACAAGACTTTATTATCCCTGCTCTACTTTCAACCAGTAAGGAAAAGTGCTTGGAAAACACTCTGTTGAAAACCTTCACTCGCGGCTGATGTATTGAGTGGTTGGAGATTTCTGGGCTCCCATTCAAGGCACATCCCTCCTACACTGTTGTTATGGGCTGGACTGTGTTTCCTCCAAATGCATATGTTAAATCCTAGCCTTCAGGAGCTCAGAGGAGGGCTGACCTTGGAGAAGGGGTCTTGAAAGAGGTGATTCACATTACATGAGGCCACTGGCGTGGGCTGACCTTATAAGAAGGGAGATTTGGACACAGACAAGCACAGAGGGAAGACGGTATAAAGACCGAGGGAATAGACAGCCATCTACAAGCCAAGGAGAGAGGCCTCCCAAGGAACCAAATCTGGAGACACGTCCATCTCAGGGTTTTGGCCTCCAGGACGGTAAGGAAACATATGTCTGCTGTTTAAGCCACCCAATCTGTGAAACTTCATTATGGTAGCCCTCGTCAATACAACCACCATCTGTCCGTTCCCACCGGGACCTCTCCCAGGCCCTGGGCCTCACTTACTGCTGCTTTTGATGTACAGGCGGAGGAGCTCGGCCAGACCACTCTTCCTCTCCACGGCCGTGCTGCTCAGGCTCTCCTGGTCCAGGATCTTGAGGAAGTCCTCCAGCTCCGTCAGCAGCTGCTCCAGGGCTAGAGAAGAGAACAGAAGAAGCCTTTACAGTGGCTGCCTTCTTAAAGGCCTAGCTCTGACACACACCCCCACCCCCACCCCCACCCCTGGGCCCTGCAGCATCTCACCATGAACTCTCTGGTCCCAAGGGGAGGGGTTTGGGGTAAGGCCTGGCAGCATGTGGGATGCCCAGTGCCAGGGTCTCGGGGAGAGGAAAACAGGCCCTCAGCCAACGACGCAGGTCTACCATTTGCTGGAGTGACAGTGGCCGAGGTGGCCCAAGCAAGCCCATAGGCCATGAGAATTTGGAAACAGAATTTTCTTCCTAGATAAAGGCCAATTAACATATCTCAGCATCTAGAGAATTTGAACACAGATCAAACCCGCAACCATCAGAAGAAGTGCTATGGTTGACCAGTTGTTCATTCTTTCCCCCAGGATAGGGAAACACAGAATCACTCATCACTCTGTCCCTGCAGAAATATGGATGACCCATCAAAAGCCACGCTTAGCAAATAAACCCTTCCCCTGAGTTTCTTCAGTGATGGGCCACCTCAGTTGTCACCAAGTCCAGCATCCCCCCCAAGGAGGGCCCTGGTCCCATGGATCCAGTTATCAGTACATCTCCCTCAAGGGCCACCGCCATCGAAGCACTCATCATTTCCCAGCTGGAAGCACCTTGCAGAAATGCTAGTACAGAGGGCAACAGTCTAGGCCAGTGATGGCGAGCCTATGACACGCGTGTCAGAGGTGACACGCGAACTCATTTTCTTGGTTGATTTTTTTTGTTAAATGGCATTTAAATATATAAAATAAATATCAAAAATATAAATCTATGTTTTACTATGGTTGCAAATATCAAAAAAACTTCTATATGTGACACGGCACCAGAGTTAAGTTAGGGTTTTTCAAAATGCTGACACGCCGAGCTCAAAAGGTTCGCCATCACTGGTCTAGGAGCAGGGCGTTCACCAGTGTTGTTGTTGACATTATTATCAGCAACCTAAATCTCCACTAAGAACAGGGCTGCCTGTCCGGTGTGCTCAGTGGTTGAGCTTCGACCTATGAACCACAAGGTCATGGTTCAATTCCCAGTCAGGGCACAAGCTGGGTGTGGGCTCGATCCCCAGTAGGGGGTGTGCAGGAGGCAGCCCATCAATGATTCTCATTCATCACTGATGTTTCTCTCTCTCCCTCCCTCCCTCTTCCTCTCTGAAATCAATAAAAAATATATTTTAAAAAAAAGAACAGGCGCTGCATTTGCTGACAGGTTCATCATCTTGGCTCTCCCTGCCTGCCTGGCTCTCGAGAACATGCTCATTAATGGAAGCCAGCTCCTCGAGGGCCTAAACAGTGCTTTCCAACCACTGGGATGACCTGGAGAACTTTTACAAATACGGATGTCCCCCGGCCGGCGTGGCTCAGTGGTTGAGCATCAACCTATGAACCAGGAAGTCATGGTTCGATTCCTGGTCAGGGCACATGCCCAGGTTGTAGGCTCGATCCCCAGTGTGGGGCGTGCAGAAGGCAGCCGATCAATGATTCTCTCATCTTTGATGGGCTTTTTTCTCTCTCTCTCCCTCTCTGAAATCAATAAAAATACATTTTTTTAAAAATCCAGATGCCCAAGCCCACCCCAGATGGATGAGCAGAATCTCTGGGAGTGGAACCCAGGAGCCAACAGTTCTTAAGCCTCCGCACATCATTGCAATGTTGCAGCCAACTGAGAACCACAGGTCTAAACCCAGTGCCAGGGACCACAGCCACAGGGACCCTGCTGCTCCCCATGACAGCAACTGTAAGTCCAAATTGGCCCTCCATCACCTGCTGTGGGAATGCTGAGCAGTCCCACGACCTCACCAAGCTCCGAGACCACCACGGAGGCCCTGCCCATCTCACAAGGTGGTTGTGAGTGACAGGTCTGCGAAGCTTTTCACCCCTGCGCTTGGGAAGTGCTACACTAGCCACACAGAGTGCTGTCATCATTGCATCCTGATTTTCCTTCTCACCCCTTGGCATCGTTTTTATTTATTTTTTCCCCGCTGCCAGCAGTCATCTCTAAGCTCCCCTTCAGAAAAAAAAAACAACCACACCAGAATCTTGCAATGTAGCATTTCCTACTGGATGTGCCTCCTAAGGGAGAGGAGGGGAAGAGAGTCACCTCTTCAAAGAAGCCCTCCCTGACCACCCTGTCCAAAGTAGATATTTCTTGTTGTCTTTCGTTTTTTAATTTTTATTTTTTAACTTAGCAGCTTCCTCTTACCTTCATAGCCTTAATCACAACTTACTAACAATATGAACATAAACGATTTTAAATAAAAGTTTAAAATGAGGAAAATTAGCAATGAATAAAATAAGAGTTTTCTTTATTTTGCTCATTTTTGAGTTGTATTTTTCTCCCCCACCCTAGCCTGGTCTGTTAGCTCAGTGGAGTTGGGACCACATCTGTCTTACATCTTTGCCATCTAACACTGTCATACGTGTGGAATGAATGAATGAATAAATAAATAGGTACCTGCTAGTTGACAACTCTAAAAGGTGAGCATCACTCCATTTTGCAGACATGAACCTAGTAGTCCAGAGAAGGCCCGCAGGGCCCACGGCAGAAAAGGTACCAGCAGAGCTTCCAGAGTCCACTAATAAGTAAAATCAGGCGAGACCCCACAGTGTGCCCGGCACTGGGCTGGGCCTCAGCCTAAACTTACTGGAAAATTAAAAAGCAGAGCCAGGAGAGCGTGGTCCGGCCTTTTGCAAGCTCATTAGCAGGACAAGACCAGCACCGGTGGAGCAATGTATAGACCAGCCGTGGGCAAACTACGGCCCGTTTGAAATGAATAAAACTAAAAAAAAAAAAAAGACCGTACCCTTTTATGTAATGATGTTTACTTTGAATTTATATTAGTTCACACAAACACTCCATCCATGCTTTTGTTCCGGCCCTCAGGTCCAGTTTAAGAACCCATTGTGGCCCTCGAGTCAAATTGCCCACCCCTGGTATAGACCAAGGCACACCACCAAAAAGCCGAGAGTCAAGTGGGAGACACCAGCTTCAAATGTGATAGGAGATCAGACAAGTACACAGCCTTCTGCCTGGAAGGCTTCTGGGAAGAGGCGGCGGTAGGGTCAGGCCTTGGGTTATTTTTTGGTTTGGTTTTGCACAGCTACTCATGAGTTTCCTGTTGAGCTTAAAGAAGCCAAACCAGGGCAAACAAAGGATGAATGAGAGGACGCTGACCCTGAGCCTTGAACTCAACTACAGTGGAGAAGAAAAAGTGAAAGGGCCTGGCAAGGCCGTTGGGGTCTCGGCTGCATTTTTCCTGACCCCCTGAACTTTTTGAAGCTGTTCAGCTGTTGCTTGTGCGGGGGGTGGAGGGGGGGGGGAGGAGATAAAAAGGCACCCAAACGGAAAGTGTCTCTTCTCTTCCACATCCTCAACTATTCCCCAAAGCTGCACGATTCCTGGAAAACAGGCTTTGTTTATCTTCACATCAGCAAATGTGTACTAAGGCAAAGGGGAGAGAGCTGTGCCCTGGGAGACAGATGTGACCCAGATGGGGTGCCCAGCCCTTCCAGGGGCCCCCTGTCTGGAAAGAGGGCAGTAAACATGCAGGGAGAGAACTGAAGCGACTCAGGGATGTCCCAAGGATCGGGAATGTACCAAGGGAGGAGAGACACACTTCGGGGTTATCGGGGACAGGAGTTTATAAGCTGGCCCTGGAGGCATGAGGAGGAGCTCACCAGCCAGAGGCAGAGGCACTTCAGGAAGAGAGGATGAGATGCTCAGAAGAGCGTTTGAGAAACCACACATAGCTCTGTGTCTCAGGGGCCCAAGGAGCATGGGCAGGGTGGGGGGCGGGCCTCCAAGGGGAGAAAGTGGTCTCTGAGGCCACAAATACAGGTCACAGGGGCTGGATTTGTTTGGCTAGCGAGTTAGTATGGAATGCTGCAGGGCCTCTGGGCAATGCAGGGGGGAAGGCCGGGGAACACTGTCCTTCAGGCGGGCTGGGGACAGGCTAGCTCTGCAAATAGGGAGGACAGTGGAAGGGGACCAGGGACCCAGGAGCCGAGGCAGGGAGGCCAGCGAGATGACTGCCCCAGCGCAGCTGGACAAGGCGAGGCCGTGTACGACCCTGCACCCCCACCACCTCCCATTCCACCAACCACTGCGAGTGCACATGGTGGCCACGGGCTCCCGAGGCTGACCTGTGACCTAGCTCGGACACACCCGCAGTTAGGAGCGGCACTGGGGCTCACGTGCACGTATGCTCCAGCCAAGGCACGTGCTGCCTGCCACCTGCTGAAGGTCTGTCTGGATCACGGCGTCTGGGTCCCGTTCCACCACAGTCACCAAGGCAGGGGAGGTGGTGGAGGGGCCGGGCTCGAGACAGGACAGGGAGAGCCATGGGCCCTGGTGATCATCCATCAGATGGAGGGACTGTGAGAGAAGACGCCCCTGGGTGACTGAGAGAAGCAGAACGCCATCAGACACACAGGCTGGGGACACGGCCATGACCCGGCAGCTGTGGTCCCCAGCCAATTGGGGAACGGAGGCGCCAGGCAGGTAGTGGGGGGAGCAGACACCCTCCTTTTCCTCTAAAGCGGCTGTGCTAGGTGAACGGTCAGCGACAGCATTAAAGAAACTCAGCACCAGGAACCAGAGTCCCCACGCCCAGGGTGTCATTTCCCTCCCAGGTCCCTTCTGCACACAGTCACCCGGGACCAAGGGCACTCAGCTTTCTTGCCATCTTTGCCTCCATGGATTCCTCACTGTCAAAGCCAGTTGCCCACGGTCATCTCTGTGTGAGCCAGGTCTGTATCTCAGGCCAGGCAGCAGCTCTCTGGTCAAGGGTCGGCCGCGGTAGGTTTGGGCCTGTGACAAGGTGCTGAGCACGACAGGGGCCAGCGATCCTGCTGCGATCACACCCTCTGGGGCCCAGCGACAGGCTCTTGGAAATAACAATCGACAAAAGCAAGGCCCCGACGACGTGCACCAACCCCGTTGACATTTTCCAACCCTCGG